CTTCCTGGTGCCTGACCGTGGCCAGGCCTCAGGCCAGTTCAGCAGGGGGCCGGGCTGGCAGGCCAGTCACCAGCTCAGGATCCCCGGGCAGTACTTGTCGATGAGCTCCTGGTAGTAGGGCCGCAGCTGGTCCACGTCCGGCAGGTCGGGGCACTTGGTGTACAGGTCAAACTTGCTGCAGCAGGAGAGGGGAAGTGAGCCTCCTGAAGCAGCCCTCAGGCCACCACCCCCTTCGCCTCCCCCAGGAGAGGCCTCACTTAAACTCCTGCACCCAGGGCAGCATGTCCAGGTCTCGCTGGCTGCACAGCTGCCTGTAGTCGCCGCTCGTGTGCCACGGGTAGAAAGAGTGGAACCTGATCATGTAGAAGGCCTGCAGAGGCCACACCAGAGAGCTCAGCCCCAGTCCAGCTGGGCGGAGCCGGATGGTGCGGGGCGGGATTCCGGGCCAGTCCCTCCCCCGCCTACCTCCGGAGGCAGGGAGAACTTGTTGAACCTCATCATCTGGTATAAGTACTCTGCAGGAGGGTACAGGGCCTCATTGCCAAGCACTGAGCACAGCCAGCCACCTTGTGGCACCCACGCTGCCCGCCTTTAACGGGACTCACCATCATGGCCCCAGGACATGAGGACGTTCTCGAGCCCACAGTGGGGCTGGTACATGCCAAGTTCTGAGCTGCAGTGAGAGATGCACATGAGGAGGGCACAGGGTGGCCTGGGAAGGGTGGGCCATCCCCGGGGTAGGGTCACCTGTATCGAGGGTCCCAGAGGTCTGGGTTCTCCTGGAAGGTAGAGTCACAGAACACCACAGAGGCCTGGGGACGGCAGCCAACAGGGAAGGTGTCTCCGACGACTGCCCACTGGGAAGGCATGGCCAGCAGTGGGCAGGGGGCACACAATTGACCCGAGAGCTGAGGCGGCCCTCACCCGCACGTCCAACTCCCAGCCCTCACCTGGGGCTCTCCCCACAGAGCCAGGACCTTTCCCAGGTCATGCAGGAGCCCAACAAGGTGGAACCAGTCTGGGGGAAAAGGACATGATGAACGGGGAGGCTGCCGGAACCCAGGGGGGGTGACCAGGCTCTGGGCTGAGTGCCCAAACCCCAGGGCCTGCTGCCCCTGGATGGGTCCTACCTTCCAGGGTGGAGGGACACCCCGCCCCACCACAGCTGGAAGGTTGTACCCTTGTCTGGGTGGGCCTTTCGAATGCCCTCTGCTGTCTGGAAGGCATGGAAGGAGTTGGGGAAGTCCACATCTGGGTCCGACTCATCCACCAGGCTGTCCAGCATGTCCACAGCCTCCATGACAGTCATTTTATTGCAGGAGAAGCTCCCGAACTGGGCGTGCTGGGTGAAAGGGAGAAGTCCGTCCCTCATAGAGTCAAGGAACCAGAAGAGGCTCAGGGGGATGCAGGACAGGGCCATCCACAAGGCCCTCTCTGTCCACTCTGGGCACCAGGCTGAGGGCGAAGGGTCTGCACAGGTGGCAGGGTGCCAGCACCTTCTTTCTGACGAAGTCCACAGTCTGGTGGGTATGCATGAGCTTGTAGGTAGCAAAGACACGGTCCAGAAGAGGGCCCGACTGCAAGTCAGATGGTCAGCTGAGGCTATGCGTCAGGCCGGCCGTCAGGCCAGGAGGACAGCCTCCTTCCCCAAGGCCAGGCCCCGCAAGACGTGAGCTGCCCCAAGCACACCCCTCGAGCTGTGGGGAGGGGCATGGGTAGGGGCTGGGCTAGAGGGGACAGACAGGGAGGAGTCCTCACGGTGTAGTTTCGGAAGCTGCCCTGGTCTTTGGTGGCCTCTGTGCCCACGTCAGGTCGGTAGACGAGGGAAGGATCGGGGCCCTGGTGGAGGGGGGATTTGAACCGTTTCACCATCATGCCAGCCCCACGAGGAAGCAAGGACATCCCCATGGGACTGGACCTGCTGAGGCCAGTGATGGAGCTGAGGGCACCCCCTGCACCGGCCCCGGTGACTCCCGGGGTCCTATCTGCTGAGGGTAGCTAATGTCTGCTTCCAGGTGGAGGGGAGCTGGGCAGGAGCAGCAGCTCCGCTGGGCATCCTTGCAGGATGGAAGCTGCTTTTAGGAAGCTGGAGTTCATCAGGGAGCCTGGGGGCCAGGGGCTGCTGACCCCTGCTGCATCTGGACCTGAATGATGAGGGCTAGCAGGAGCCAGCTGGAAGAGGGTGGAGCCCCTGAACCGGGTGGGGAACTCACCACAACCACCTTCATCCTGAGAGGGTGCGTTGGCAGGCTGGCAGGTTGGCGAGAGATCTACCAGGTGCCTCTATATAGGCCCCCAGGTTACATAAGTGACCGACACTATTTGCCCCTTGATCTTGGCCCTGGGTAATGAGTGACTACTGCCTTCCTCCTGGCCTCAGCAGATTAACGTGTCAGCAGGGGAGCAGCCCCCCCAGCAGTCTGGCCCCTCTCCCTGGCTTCACCCTCCCTGTTCTCAAGTCACTGACTTGCCTGGACATCCAGGCACTGCTCTCTGCAGTCCAGCTCTCTCTGCACCTCCCTGTGTGCAGTGGGGCCCTCCCAACACAAGGTGCAGACCCTAGACCCTATCCTAAGGTGCAAACTCCCCCATACTTTATCCCCAGGGCACCTATGGATTATGGGTGAGGCAGCCTTGTTGGGGAAAAAACGATCCTAAGGCTGGTGGTACAGCTCAGTGGCAGTGTGCTTGCCCAGTGTGCGCAAAGCCCTGCATTCATTCCCAGCACTGCAAAAGGAAGAAAGAATGAGGAGGAGGAAGGATCATTCTGACAGTTATTATGCGGGTAAGGAAAACTTTATTGAAGACAGTTGCAACGGGAGAGTGAGACAGAGCACAACAAGACTGCCCGGAGGCACCACAGTGAGCACAGACGGCTGAGGCACCAAGGGAGCAGGCCTGGCCAAGGCCTAACTGGGTTCTTGCTGGAGGCAGATGGGTGATCAGATTCGAGGGTGGAGGATTCCCCATAAACCGATTTAGGATTCTTGCTCACCCAGCAAGGCCCAGCAAGGACATGGCCAAGGTCAGGTCTAGTCCTGAAGAGGCCTTAGGGCAGCCTTCTGAAGTGTCCAGCTCCTGGGGAAATGGCTCCATAAGCCAATAGTACTGACCAGGGCTCAAATGCATTTCATGGTCCACTGGCTCTGAGGACACAGCAGGGACCAAGCGAACAGAAATGCCTGCCTAAGAAGCCACATGCTGGGAGCATCAGAGAGGGAAGGGCACATAGTAGAGACTGAAGGGTGGGGACCTTGAAGGCCAGAGTCACCCATTCAATGGGCTCCTCCGGCAGCTGTGATGAGAAGAGGTGGTAGGAGAGACCCCACCACACCCTCACCACTTAAAATGACTGTTCTGCTCATCCTTTACTGATTTGCCTTGGGTATGTCTCTTCCCACTGGAGCCTCAGCCCAGAGGGCCTGTCTGGACTCTTGGACATTCCTGCATGCTCCATGCTCAGTTCACACTAGGCAGGATGGGGGCGACAGCCTCCAGCAGGCTAGAGCCATCTCCCTCAAAGCAGGTGGTGCCTCAAAGCAGGAAGGAGCGGCATCTGGATAGGATTCTGGGGAGGGGCCAATAAGGTTAGAACGCTTCAATAGCTGGACGTGCGCTGGGAAAGCCCAAGGGGTAGGGCAGGCAGCACTGCTGCTGGAACTCCACAGGGGTGGCAGGGGATAGCCAAGTGTCGCTGTCATACCAGATGCACGGCTGTGGGTCGTGACAGGCCACCTTTTGACACTGCATGGCTGGCCAGGAGGGCAAGTTGTCCCACGTCCAGGTCTGGAGGAGGCAAGGTGTCACCCAGAAGAGGGTCTGGGGGAGGCTGAAGGAGTCCATGAAGAGGGAACATCTTGTACTGAAGAACAGACCTCACAGGCCCAGAAGGTGTGCTGGACTCTGCCTAGTGCCCAGGAGCCTGGGAGGGGGTCCTGGTAGAGAGAGTGCCTGTCTCTTCCCAGCTCACTCTGGACCCCTTGCCTTCACTCCGGGACCTCACGCTGTGTCCTCACTGTCCATCTGCCTCTGTCGACACCATTCTGTGGCAGCAGGGCACATGACCCTGGAGCCCAGGCTGCTGGCCTCTTGTGGGGTAGCTATTGCAGCCACACCTTCCATGGGTCTGGGGCCTTACACCCTCTGCTCCCTTCTCTGGGGAGCCTTGGAGGAAGCTGAGACAATGGCTTCTGTTCTCATGCAGCAATTTTAAAAAAGGAATCATTAAAAAAAATCCATCCCAGTCCAGTGGTCACTTAAAATCCCAGCGACAAGGTGAGTTAATGCTGCAAGTGACCCTCGAGCTGGAAGAGCATCTATCTTGGGGGTACAGAAAGCCCAAGGGGCAGGTCTGTTGGTGACCCTGAGAGCCAGTTCTGTGGTGGGCACTGCAGTGACCAGAAGCACATGTCTCACCTCAGTGTGGCTACCTCTAGAGTTGGGGTAAGGAAGTGTCCCTGCCAGGTGGCTGTGAGCTGAGGGTGGGCCTGGCAAGCATTTGCAGTCAAGTGCTGTGTGAGTGCCGATAAGTGAAGCACAATGGCTCTGGGGCTCGAGCGACACACCTGCGAAGGCCCTGTCTGGGGCAGGGGGAGCTCTGCTCCTTGGCTGTGGTTCTCTATCACTTGAGGCTGCTTCTCCCCCCACCCAGGCTCTGGCTGGGTGTGGAGGAGCACTCAGCCTCCACCATCCCTCACTGGTCCTGCTGTGTGCCCCACAGGGTGGAGCGGGGTGGGGAGCCAGTATTGCTGTGAGGTTCAACCTGATTTGGGTTGGATCTTTCTCTTTCTTTTAAAAAAATATTTATTTTTAGTTGTAGTTGGATACAATATCTTTATTAATTAATTTATTTATTATGAGGCTCGAATCCAGGGCCTTGCATGTGCTAGGTGAGCGCTCTACCACTGAGCTACAACCCCAGCCTGGATCTTTCGCTTTCTTTTTGTTCCTTTTTATAAACTTTAGGGTTCCGTTTTTTTGCGGGGGGGTTGGTACCAGGGATTGAACCCAGGGACACTATACCACTGAGCTGCATGTCCAGCCCCTTTTATTTTTTGTTTTAAGACAGGGTCTCCCTAAGCCGCACAGTGTGGACTTGAATCTGTGATCCTCCTGCTCAGAGTCGTTGGGATTATAAGTGACCACCACCCCACTGGGCTGGAGTGGATTTTTTTTTTTAATGATTCCTTTTTAAAAATAACTTTATTTTATTTATTTTTAAACAAATAAAGCTGAGGCTCAAACCCAGTGCACGTTGAGACAAGCGTTTCACCATGAGCTACAGCCCCAGTCCCTGGGGTGGATCTCAGTTGGCCTAATTGGAGTTGGGAAGGGTGACTCTGCTCCTCCCCAGAATGACCCAGGAGTGTCCCCGAGCCCCTTCCCCCTGCCCCCCTGGGATCCAGGTGGAGTCTTCATCATCACCTCAGCTTTGACTCCACTGATGGTCACTGGAGCCCTGGGGGTCCCTTTGTGACCTCTTCCCTCACCTCAACTCTGAGAACTGTGATATCAGTCTGCCCTACTGCCCTCCTGTCTCAGGGAACATGGGGAAGGACCTCTTCCAGGGAGGCACAACAAGCGCAGAGGGCAGGAGAGCAGCAAGGGCCTCCCTGCCAGAGGGCTGCAGGGAAGAACACATCAACTGCTCTTCCCTTCTCCCAGAGGGGGCCGGCCCCCTGTGCAGGACTGTGGCTGAGGCTCCATGTCCCTGAGAGACCCCTTCTCTCTGAAGCCCCGTTTGGCAACTGATGCTGCCAGCCACCTGTGCCCAGCACTTGTTCCCTGAGTGTGCACAGTTCAGAGGTGCACAAGCTGGGGCACACAGATGGTGCATGTGGACACACGACACATCCACACGGGTTTAGGGTCCAAGCCTGAAGGTGCAGGTGCTCAGGTCCAGCTGCCTGAAAGGGCTCCAAAGGGCTGGACCAGGGCAGGGGCTTAGCTGCAGCTCTGGGGTCAGTACCACACTCCGGCTGGGTGGGATGGGCAGGGGTGTGCCAGGATGCACTTCAACCATAGCTGTGGGGGCTGCTGGGGTCCACAGGTGCTAGGTCCCGCCGGCCAGCTGGCCCTACCAGCTTCCAGAGGCGGTGGCTGAGGTTCTGCACCTGGCAGGTGCCTAGCATGCAGCCAACCCGCAGGAGCTGGGCTTGGGGCCTTCGGGATCCCCAGTGTCGCCGGGGACCTGAGTGTCGTCGACCACCATCCTGGAGAGGCCGACCCAGAGTGGGAGCCAGGCTGGCCCTCCCCTGTGGCTGGGGAGCCTGATGAGGCTTCCAGACCACAGGCAGGGGTGCAGGGTGCTGGGGCCGCTGGCCACCGGGAAGATCCTGAGCTGAAGGCTCTCTGCAGAGGGGAAAGGATCGTGTAAACTTTAAGGGCTCAGCCTTTCAGAAACCCCCAAACCCAACCACTTTCTTCTCACTGCTGGCCTAGAGTCATTGACAGGGAAGCCCACAGCTTCCCCAACAGCCTGGCAGAGGACCAGGGGAAGCCCAGAGGACCCTGCCCCCGCCCCCCCACGGCCTGGGGCACAGCCAGGGGAAGCCCACCATACCTCAGAGCTGAGTCCTGGTAAGCTGACCATTTCAGGAGCAAAAGTCACATGTCCCACTAACAGCACCTCCCTGGGCAAAGGGCACCCAGGCACCCTGTTGACCCCTCTGAGCCCTCCCTTTAGGGTGATCAGGGGCCAACAGGCCTGGGGATGCCTCCAAGTCTCACCTCCCCCAGCAGACCCCTCTGGTGGAGGGGCTGCTCTGTCGGGGTGTGTGTGGGGTGGGGGCAAAGGAAGCTGACCCCCTCAGGAAACGCTGAAGGTGTGGTGGGGGGCCTCTGATTTAGGAGATAAACCCTAGTGAGGGGGTTCTCAACCGGGACATGTGGGGGGCACATAGCTTTTCAGAGCTGTTGGAGCCCAGCACTCACCTGGGTTTGGAGAACCGCGAGCCCCAGCCCAGGCCGCCGGACAGCGCGCCAGGGAGCTGCAGGTAGAGGAGGCTGATGCAACCAAGGGTGACCGTGGCCGCCAGGAGCCGGGCCATGGCGGCGGGGCTGAGGAGGGAGCGGGTGGTGAGCCCAGCAACTGGGGACTGTCTTGGACTCCGTCACCCTCATCAGCGTGCACAGTGGGGATCCCTTGAAAACCCGGGGGCGCCTGGTGTGGGCGTGCGTCTGCTGGGTACCTGTGTGGGTCCGGGCGTCCAAGGGCAGATGTATCTGGGGACTTTTGGCGGATGCCGGAGCGTGGAGCGAACTGGGCTGGGCTGCCCTGGGTCTCCTCGGTCAGTTCCCAGTCGGACTTAATGCCTGGGTCCGCGCCTCAGGGCTCCACGGCACCTCCAGCGCTAAATAGGCTTTGGAGCAGGAGGCGGAGTCCGACGCGCCCATGGGCGGGGCGCCCTCCCTGGCTTCCTCCTCGACCTGGTCCTGGGCCCGGTGGACTGCGTAGTGGAGCCCACCTGCTGCCTTTGCCTACCGGTCTGGTGAGCAATGAATGGGTGCAGAAAGGGGCAGCGTGACAAGGGTCACTCATGGGCCCGTCCCTGCTGAGTAGTGCTCGGCGACTGGTCGACTGGTCGCGAACCTGGAGGCTACAGACCTCACTCCTGGCACCTTCTGGTGTGGAATGCAGCCCCAGAGCCTGGTGGGGCCAGACCTCACAGGCTGAAGGGTGGGTGCTGGGGTGTGGCGTACAATCATCGGGCCAGGGCATCCATCCCGTCAACCACCTCCATCTCTCCAAGTGACAGCAGGAGTGCTGGGCAGGCCAGGGTCCTCAGAGGAGACTGATCACTCCTGACCAGGCCATTCCTACCCTTCTAGAGACTCCCTTGAAGCCTACCCTACAGCCCTCTTCACCAACGTATTGAGTGGTTTTTGTAAGAAATTTAGATTTAAGTCAAGATGCATCTTACTGGAGTGCTGCCCACCCAGAGTCTCTCCCCCAGCCCTAGGCAGGGCCCCATTCCTGACCCTCTCTGTGACACTGTTGTGTACATATGCAATATGACATGAGATATATGTATGTCTTTCCTACAATTGGTTCTACTCTAATATCCAGGAATTATGTGAGTCCTTATTGATGTGAAATTAGGTGATTTCCAGTCCTTCCATGAGAAAAACCCTGCCACCTCAAATTCACTTGTGCCAAGTGTGTTGTTCTCCACAAAGTTTGCAGCAGTCCACTGTGGATCCTTGAGCACCTGCTGTCATCACCTTCCACTCTGCCAGTCTGAGAGGAGGCCATTATCTCATCACCCTCATGAGTGTTTCACTGCCTGAGCATCTCTATGCCCTTTGTGTTTATTCTCTGTCTCATCCTGTCCCTACTCTCACCCACTCTGTTGGGCTCATCCAAAACCTGGTGGACCACTCTGTGCCTCCTGCTGAGCACACCATGGGTGCTCAACAAACATTTGCTGGATGAATAGTCCAGAAGTGTTGAATGCTGGCCATGCTGGAGAGCTGGGCTTACCTCCTGGGGAACACAGGCAAGCTTGGGCCTTTATTCACCTGTATTTTTTTACCAGTTAGATTTGGCAGTGGTCTAATTTATGTAAGAAAAGCAGAGTGGTGGCCAAGAAGACAGGTGAACATGGGTCTGAGGAAGAAGTGCTGGGAGGCGGGCAGGAGGGAATGCTGTGATGGCAGGATGAACAGGTCAGGAGACTGGACAGGACTGGGAGTGGATGAAGAGGCCCTTTGGTTTGCTGGCGCAGGGTGCTGGACAGTAGGAAGAGGTTATGCTTTGGATATGCAGAACCCAGCAGAATTGTCTGTCCTATCAGCCTCCAGCCTTGTGGGCCTGAGGCTGTGAAGAGGGCAGACTGGAACATAGTTTTGGGTTCAGAGATGGAAGGTCCTGGGAACTGCGCTCTCCAGAGAGAATGCAGAGGCAGGCTGGGTGGCTGAAAACAGATTTTTTTTTGGAGAGAGAGAGAGAGAATTTTTTAATATTTATTTTTTAGTTTTCGGCGGACACACATCTTTGTTTGTATGTGGTGCTGAGGTTGAACCCGGGCTGCACGCATGCCAGGCTACTGCTTGAGCCACACACATCCCCAGCCCTGAAAACAGAATTTGTCTGCCTGTACTGAAGGGACAGCAGGAACAGTGAGCAGAGGACACAGGTGGAACCAAGTCTGCAGCTCTGCCTCTTCTCACCAGCCCCCACTCCACCCTCAGTAGGTCTCTAAAAATGCTGCCAGCACTACCTTGAGACACAAATGCCTTGGTATTATCCACCCCCCACCAGTACAGAAAAAGTCAAGTCCCATCTTTGTCAGGTTTTTACTCTGGGGCAGGTGGAGGTAAGCTTCACTAGAGTCACTGTCCATGTCCTTTCTTTCAGACCCTGGGAAAACTGAATGGCTGGTACATCCTGGAGCCTATGTCCTGTCTCTTTGGAAGCCCTCAGTAGTGGGAGTCCTCGGGTTCTCAGTCTGGCATTTGTTATGCCCCCCTTTCCCCCAACTAGATTAGAGGCCCCCACTGGTCCTGTAGCCCCTGAAGTCACATCTTATGGCACCTGCTAAGTACAACTGTGCCCCTTAAGGTGAGACTAAATTGTCTCATTTACCCTTAGTCAGGGAAGCTACTTCTGGGAGTGAAAGGCTTTCCACTCCAGCACTACTGGGGGCTTTGTTTGGGGAGTTAAGGTGAGAGAGGAGTTTGATACTCACAGCAACTATTCCACAGAAAGATGGGATTGATGTGGTGGGCACTGGCAATCAGCCGTGGGAGGTGGGCAGGACAGGTGGGGCACGCGGTAACCATGGGTGGAGAGTGGGAGCCAATGTGCTTGGGCTCAGTGATGGAGTACACCTCCCTGTTGGTCTTTTTTTCTCTGAGAAGGAAGAGCAGCTGATCATCCCTGAAATATGGGAGGTGGAGACAGAGGACTGAAGTGAGTGCTGACCACATAGCAGCAGGCTGGATAGTGTGTGGGGACCATGTGTCATCTGTCGGTTACTCTGCCCTGGATGATAGTGGGTGTGGACCTTGAGTGTCTAGATGGTCAGGACTGTATATGTTTTTTTGGTTTTTTGAGAGCGGGGGAAGAATTGGGGATTTAACCCAGGAGGCTTTACCACTGAGCTGTATCTCCCAACCTTTTTTTTAAGTATTTTTTTTTTAAAGAGAGAGAGAGAGAGAGAGAGAGAGAGAGAAAGAGAATTTTTTTTAATATTTATTTTTTAGTTTTCGGCGGACATGACATCTTTGTTTTTTTGTTGTATGTGGTGCTGAGGATCGAACCCGGGCCAAACGCATGCCAGGCGAGCAAGCTACCGCCTGAGCCACATCCCCAGCCCCTCTCCCGACCCTTTTTATTATTTATTTTGAGATAGGGTCTCACTAAGTTGCTTAGGGCCTCACTAAATTGCTGAGGCTGGCCTTGAACTTGTGATCCTTCTGTCTCAGCCTCCTGAGTCCTGGGATTAGAACACCACAGCTGGCACAAGGTTGGATTTTGTGAGATGGGAATAGTGAGAAAACAGGCAGGAGGCTTCAGATGTTGGCAAGATGATAGGCCATAAAAGGTATGCTGAGTGGGGGTAAAATGACGGATGGAGGAGCCAAGAGGCTATGGGCTGAGGACAGTGGTTTCCTGGAGGAGACCTGAGCCTTCTGGAAGAAAAGGAGGCTCTGGGAACCAGGATCCTTGAGAAGGGGAGAAGGCTGGGCCAGTGGCAGAAAACTTGAAGAGGGAGGGGGGAATTCAAGGAACTCTTATATGGGATAGGGGTCCCTTGGGCCAGGACCACTAGGTGTAGTGGAACTGCATGGGGGAGTGGGAAGCAGGGCCTTCAGTCTCCAGGAGGAGAACTAGCTCTGGGCTGAGACATGAGGCCAGACTTGGCCAGGGACTCTTCTCCTCCACAGTCAATGGTGTGGAGAGGACCTGCAGTGATGGAAAACAACTCAAACCAGCTCAGGCAGAAAGGACTTCTTTGACCTCATGTGAGACGGGGGCAGAATAGGGCTGGGACTAGGGCTGTGCCTCAGGGCCAGGGCGGGACCCTGGAGCCACCCCCTCAGCTCATTCATCCTCCTGGGCTGGCTCCTGCGGGTGGAGGAGACCGACGGGCCAGTAGTTTCTGCCTCCAACGGCTCCTGCAACAACCAAACTCATTCAAAAAAAGTCTAGCCCTGTCCCCTGGCCTCCCATATCAAGGATCTGGTGCCTCTCCCAGAGTGTCCCGCCCCTGACTCTAGTGTCCTCTTAGTCAAGCCCCGTGGCACGGCAGTGCAGCCCCGGCCAGTCCCTCTCCCTGGGGGCGGTGCGGTCTCCGGGAAAGGTGTCTCACATTGAAGAAAACATCCGATCTTCACAGCGGAACCTGCCGGACTCCCCTTCCCACACCGCTCAGCCTGGTCGGGTCCAGCGGCCTCCAGTTGGGTGTTCTGGAGGGCAGAGCCCGGGCTCCTCCAGTTCGCCTCCGCCTGACACCGCGGAGCCTGGGGACCTCACCCCGACCTCCCGACTGGAAGCTCCTAGGGGCGGACCCCGGCCTATCTCCACCCACGTGCGAGGGTCCAGACCGCTAGGTCGGCCCTGACGCCGGCCGTCTCTGGATCACTACCCACCGCCTCCCAGGCTGGGCCGACTGACCCACCCGAGCCGCCGTTCGCGTCATCCGCCCCAGGGGCGGTGCCCGGGGCCCGGGAAGGGACCCAACAGCGCCCTTGGGGCCTGCCCACGCCAGGTGAGCCAATGGGGCGCGCCGTTTCAGGCTCCGCCCATGTGGGCGGGGTGAGGGCGCGCAGGCGCACGGCGCGCCCGGGCGGGCCGGCTGGCTGGGAAGATGGCGGCGGAAGCCCGGGCCAGGGCCGCGGCGGAGCGGGCCCGGGGTGTCCCGGGTGCGCGGCCCAGGGCCGGCGCCGGGCCATGAGCGCGCCTCCCTCAAGTCCCCGAGCCGCGGAGCCCGCCCGCGCCCCTCGGGCCGCCCCGCGCCTCTCGCCATGGCGCGGCTCGCGGACTACTTCGTGCTGGTGGCGTTCGGGCCGCACCCGCGCGGTGAGTGTCGCGGCAGAGCGCTGAGGGACTGGGCGGGGGCCGGGGGCTGAGTGTCTGGGCAGCGGGACAGGTCTGGCGACGGAGGGAGGGCCGGGCCTCAGTGTGGTCTGCGGTACCAGGCTGAGGATCGGGACTGTGGGACTGGGCTGTGGATTGAGGGACAGGATGGGGGTTGAGGGTCGGGCACTGGGCTGAGCGCGAGGAGATGGGGACTAGCCCGGGGCTGAGAAATGGACTGAGGGACCGAGGTACTGAGGGACCTGGCCCAGGAACTGGCCAAAGGTCCCGGGGGTTAAGGGGATAGAAAGACGAGGCTGGACCGAGGGTTCACTACTGGGATTCGCGAGGGCCCAGGAAGCGTCCCAGTGGCTGTGGTGGAGGTAGTTGCAGGGATAGCTGGGGAGAAGTGGGGCCATCCCTGGGCACCTGCCTTCTGCTGCGGTGGTGGGCAGCGGCATGTGGCTGGAGATGGGAGGGCTCTGAGGCATCTGGCCTCCTCCTCTCCAGTTAGTTGGGATGCACACTATTGGCCTCCACAGATTGCTGAGTGGCCATGCCCAGAGGCTAGCCCCTTCTCTGACTGGTACTAGGTCTGAAGCCTCAAATAGGCTTGGTAGGATGCAGAGGAAAGCATGGAGGTTCCAAAGCTACTTCATAGAGTGATGGTATTTGAATTGGAACTTGGAGGATTTCAGGATGAAACGTAGTGAACAGAGAGCATTCTTGGCAATGAGCCTGTTGGTATAGGCTCTGCAAGTCAATCCCTGGGTGGGAGATCATTGTAGTATTGGTGCCAGTGTGTAGGAGGTCCAGGTCCAGGTCTGGGGGCACCTGTGTCTGAGCACCCTTTCAGCCTGGGGGTGGGTAGGAGAAACAGAGCCTGACAATGACATCAGCAACAGCCGTGGAGACAGTGGTGTTGGGTATTGGCAAGCGTGCTGGGTGTGCCAGTTCCTGCACAGCCCTTTGTGTGCATGATCTCACTTCTTTATCTCTCAAGCCCACCAAAGTTGCCCTGCTGTTTCCCCCATTTGTAGAGCAGAATCAGGTACAGAGAGGTTGAGTGCGCAGTCTAAGGCAGCTCAGACTGGCACTCAGTCTGTCAAATCCCAATGCTGCTGCTGCTGTTGCTTCTTTGTCATCTTCATCTCTTTCCTTTTTTTCATGGTGCTAGGAATCAAACCTAGGGCCTTACAAATGCTAAGCAAGTGCTGTACTACTAAGCTATATCCGCAACTCTCCAGCTTTTTATCATTCTCCTGCCACTGTCATCATCCATGACCTGAACTTTCTTCTTTGCCTTTTCTTTAGCTGAGCCTCCACCTGGACTGTCTCTTTGTCTAGGGTCCACCTGCACACTCTTTGAAGCCTCTTCAGCATCTTCCTCATTTCCAGACCCTACTCAGTGTAGATGGCCCTCTCTTACTCAGCACTTGATCTTCTCTCAGCTGTCCAAGTATGACCATCAGTCATAAACATCTGACTTTCTCTCCAGAGAGGGAGTTGTCAAAGGCAAAGACCACATTGTCCTCATCTCTGTCTCTTTTGAAGGAGAGTGGCCTGTTACAAGGCACATGTAGAGGGCATCAAAGAAGTGGTATCACCTAGGACAGAGAATTAGGTGGGGATCCAGGAAAACAAGGCTGGATGATAGTTGTTCTACTGTGAGGGGCCTTAGGCTGTGTTCAGGGGCTGCAGGAACCCAGGCTTGGATGCTGATGATGTTGAGGACGGTGTGAGGAGAGAGGACCTGGTAGACAGAGACTGCAGATAGAGGCTAGATAGCAGTGGTGATAGTTGGGTTAGAGTTGGATGAATCTGAGGGAGGCATGAGGAGGCAGTTGTGGGATCTGTGAGAAGCTGGCTGTGACAAGTATGCTTACTGCTGGAACTGCACAGGCACCTCTGATGTATATGACCTCTGAACAGTATATGTGAGAAGGCTGGGCCCAAGATGTTCACTCACCCTAAATGGTGGGAAGGAGTGATTCCCAAGTTGTCCACTTGGGTGGTGGTAAAAGGCCGTGGAGCTCCTGAACACTGCCTTCTGAGGTTGGAACTAGCTGGCCATCCAGCCTCAGGACATTCCTTAGAAGAACTCATCTATCCCTGTGAGGAATAAACCCACAGACTGGGAAAGGTGATAGGGTAGGGGCGGGAATAAGGGAAGCCAAATGGCACCTTCAGACAACTGATGTGGGGGTCAGTTGTCTGTGCTTTGCAACCATAGCTTTGTGACCTCAGGCCAGTCATTTGACTCTGTGTGCCTCAGTTTCCTCATCTGTAGCTGGTATGAGTCATACTAATCTTCTAGGCTGTGAGGATGCGATGAACACAGATGTGAGACCCTAGGAAGCAATGGGTGTCTTATTCATGATGGACCAGCAGGTGTATGAACATAGGCACAGATAGAACGATGTGCCTCCAAGGGAGGTGAAAGATGCCCTTGTACTGGCAGGCCTAGGACATCAGGGCAGGGATGCAGGGTCTTTTAGGTTAAGCGGTGTGAGTGGGCAGTTTCATGTCTTTGGCCTGGTTTTGGTCATCTTTTCTGAGACTGCTGGGTGTAGGCCTGGGTGTCTTGGCTGCTGGGTTGGGTTCAGAGTCCTGCCCAAGGCAGCACCCTGGTTGCTAGTGGTCTCCAGCTGGTGACCTCTCAGAGAGGGTGGGGAGATGCTTGGGCTGTGTGTGTCCTTTTCACCTCAGAGGGTGCCAGCTGGCCCATTACAGGCTCCTTACCTGGTGAGTCAGGAAGCAGCTTCTGTGCCCTGGGCCTAACTCTGGGGTCAGTGCGAGGACCAGATGGATGGCCCTTTCCCAGCTCCCAGTAGTAGTCAGCTGATTTAATGCAGCATGGCCAGTGTTGAGGTGTCTTTTGAGAGCAGGGAAGACACTTGACCTGGCTCAGACCTGGCAGGCAGCCTTCTTGCTGCCACTGGGAAGGAAGGTCTGGACCCCCAAGTGTCTGAGAAAAAGACTTTCCATCCTGTGGCCTGGTCTCTTTCAGTCCTATGGTAATGAGTTGGCCACATTCTTGGGCCCCATCTACTATCTCCACCCCTGTTCCTGCCCTACCTCTGGAGCAGGTTGGGGCTGTTTGGGATGGCCTCAGCAGCATCCACCCTGGATGTTTGAAGAGGATGTTTTGGACCAGAGCTACTGTGGTTGTGGGTGAGGGTGGATCAGGAAGGATGACCAGAGAAGCTGCAGTGGTTGACCAGGAACAGCATGCCTGGGTGTCAAGGTCACTATGTTTGGAGCAGCAGGAGGATGCTGTCCAGTGTGTATGATATGATATGTAGTAGGCTGAGCAGAGGAGGCTGCCGTCCTTTCTTTGTCTTCCCTTAGTGTACACTAGGATGGCTCTCTAGGCATCGGAGCCTGGCACTGGTGATGGGGTGTGCCAGCAGATGACAGAACGCATGGTCTGTGTTCTCTTGCTGGCCAGCCTTGCCGTTCAGCCCTGCAGCCTTCATGGGGTTGGCTGCCAGAGGAGCTTTCACTGAGGAGCTTTGAGTACAGGAGCCCCAGTGTCACCCTTGGGTTGACTTCCCTTAGCCTGTGGTTCAAGAGAAGGAGGGACAGGGGATTTCCCATCTATGCCTCAGAGGATCTTGGTGCCCCTCCTCCTCGGGCCCCTTAAAGAGTACTGCCCAGTGATGCATGGCTGTACTGTTGGGATTAGTGGGGTGGGAAGGGGAGGCACCCTCCCTCCTCTCTACTCTAAAGTGGGGCATTGTTCTGGTAGAGTAAGGAGCTCAGCCATTTCAGGTCACCCTTGTGTTCACAGTGCTTGAGTGAGTGGGGGACACTGGGTAAACTTGACAGAACCTCTTCCTCCTATGCAAGCCAGCAGCCAAGCCCCTGAAAGTACAGAGCTGAGGAAAAGGCTAAGGTCTCAGGAAAGGGGCTAGGTACCGTTGTTCACAGGAGAAACTGTGGACTTCTTCATGGTGTGTTCTTGGAGGAGGGCCTGCTATGTCGGGTGCTCCCCAGGGCTCTGGAAGCTGCTCTGCACTTCTGACTGAGAAACCTGTTTGCTTGTGGGGTGTGAGTAGGGCTGGGTGTGGGGAGGATAGTCATGTGTGCATGCAACAAGCCCTAATTAGGCTGTGGTCTGTGCCAGGTTTGGAGCCTGCCATCAAGCCCAGCCTACTGACAGGTGCACCAGTTGTCAAGAGGTGGTAGGTAGGGGTTGTAGAGGAAGGGAGGTCCTAGGGGTTCCTATGCAGGCTCCAGGATCAGGCACAGATCTTCCCAGAGAAGGAACACTGTGACCTGAGTTCCTAAGGGCAAGCCTGGAGCTCAGGAGAGATGCCTGCTTGGCTGGTTCCCCTATCCTCCCTCATGAGACAGTGGGGGCACTCATGAGAGTGGTGATCAGGGTTAGCTCTTCAGAGCGTGGGCCCCTCAGAGGATTTTAAGTCTGAGTTGCAAGAGGAAGTTAGATTTCATACTATGAATGAGATAGGAGAAGGCGATGGTGGATGATGATAATCTCCTTTATGCTCACTCCTTTGGGGGGAGAAGCTACTGAGAGCACCCTTCTGAAGACTGCTCACCCTGCCTGAACTGAGAGGGAGACTGTAGAGCAGAGGCTCCTGTCCCTGTCTTACACCCCCTCTTCCTTGTTCCGCCTGCTGCCTCGTGGCAAGAACTGGGTGAGCCCT